GTGTGTGTGTGTGTGTGTGTGTGTGTGAGAGAGAGAGAGAGAGAGAGAGAGAGAGAGAGAGAGAGAGAGAGAAGATGATGCCCTCTGGTCATCAGTCCTCATAGATGAGTCATCCCTATCTTGTCTGAATGGCCCCTTCTGGGCCACATTTGATCCAGGGGAATCTTTTGTAAGGCTGTAGACTCCTGCCTCCCCCACATGCACCTCATCCAGCGTCTTGAATAATGTGGAACCACCTTGTTAGCTCTCTCTCTCTCTCTCTCTCTCTCTCTCTCTCTCTCTCTCTCTCTCTCTCTCTCTCTCTCTCTCCTTCTTCCTCTCAGCACTAGGAAATCATGTTTCCTAACCTGGGGAAAGTTTCTGCTCTGCTTCCCCTGCTCCTCCCAACCACACTTCTTCCCATAACCACGATGCCATTCCCTCAGTCCTCCTAAGCTCTCCAAAGGGCCCTTACTTTTGGAAAATAAAACTTGCAGGCCACTTCTGCTTTGGTCCAGCTGCAGAGCTCCCTTGACATGCACAAATGTAGGCCCAGCTAAATGACAGCTGACTTGGGAAGGAAAAGAGGGAAATTAACTAATGAATTAATATCTCAAGATAATATTTATCACATGAGGTTGGAGAAGGGTGGGGCCTGTGATGAGACATATGGCTTGAAGTCACCTGCTCTCTCAGTAACTAGAACACCACACACATATGCATGTACGTCCATGCACGCACCCTTCTCCCACAGTCTTCCCAGGCAGGGTCCCAGTCTCTTGCATGGCTTCTCCCTTGCTGCCCTCACTTCTCTACTCTCCTCCTTCTAGAGGTTGGTACCTCCTATTATGCTGTAGCTGTAGTCAAGAGGAGCTCCAACGTGACCATCAATACCCTGAAAGGCGTGAAGTCCTGCCACACGGGCATCAACAGGACAGTGGGCTGGAATGTGCCTGTGGGCTACCTAGTGGACAGCGGCCGCCTCTCGGTGATGGGCTGCGACGTGCTCAAAGGTGAGGGCTTTGGGCAGGCAGGGGATTCTCCTGAAGGCACTCTAGGTTCCCCTCTCCTTACTTCTGCTTCTGCCTGCCCCCACCTCCCCCACCCCCCAAACGGGATAGCCTTCCTCCAGGCTCATCTTCATCTCATACTTCAAGGAAGAGCACAGTCCCACCTCTCCCAGGGGCCTCCCAGACACCTAGTCAGCAGTGCCACTCCCCCCTGTCTTTCATACTGGCCAGCCTGGTGTCACCACCATTTTAGTTTCTGCTTGATGGCGCCTCCAGAGCACTCGACTCTCACTCACTCATCATGGTGTCTCACCGCACAGCCAAGCACAGGGCCCAGCCCATGTTGGGACATGGTGAATCGGCAAGGAGCACGTGGTGTGGACCTGGTGTAGGTCACTGTTCCAGAAACGTGTCCTCAACTTCACAGGGTCAGAAATTTCAGGACCCAAACCAGCTGCTGCTGTCTTGTACCCAGGACGCTCGCAGGTAGTAAATCAGAGACTCCCTGCTCCCAATTATTCATCTGTAGTGAGAATAGGGCTGCCACACAGATAGAATGTTCTCCGGTGGAAGGGAGTGGAGAGCTATCCAAAGGGGCTGCCTAAGAATAAAATGAGTGAGGGGTGAGGCAAAGCCTCGAGGGTCCTGGCTAAGAGCCCAGAGCCCTGACTCTGGCGTCCCGGACAGAAACCCTGCTTCTCATGCTTTAGGCTTCTTTTTCCTGGTCACACACTGGCCACCCAGCTGTGTCAATCTCTCCAATATGGCAATGAGGTGGCCCCTGACACATGACAACCACATTCTCAAACTACTCACTTAGGCTCACACCCCCCCCCGAGTAGAGTTTGGGGTGTCCCCAAATTCTTTGTCCACAAGTGTGCTGCCTCCCGGTTTGTTCCACAGACGATCAGAGCTTCTGGGGCTGGGTGTGGGCTGGGGAAGCGTGCAGGAGAAACAATAGTCTTTTAAAGCCCTGACTTTGCTGTCAGATAGATGTAGATTTAAACCCAGGCTCAACATGACCTGCCCTCAGAGAGGTTACTCTGCCTCCTTGAACTTAGGTGCCCTCATCTTGTAAAATGGGAAAATGAGCTACAGTGCTGTGGGGTTGGGAGCAGTGAGAGAATTCACACATTGTTTTCGCACAATGCATGGCACAGGGTACATGCTTATTGCGGGGAGCTGTTGTTATTATGAGCTCAACTGCCCTACCTCTCGGCAGGCACCTCGCTGTTGTGCACACACATGCATGCATGTACACACATGTACACACATACAGACACATGTATGCACTGCCCCCATACCGCCCCAACCACTGTGTAAACCAGCACAACTCACAAGAGCCTGGAAGCCATGTCCTCTCTGATGGTGGCCAGGTTTGCATGGTGTATCAGTCACTAGGCACATTTATTAAATATCTTCTCCCCTGGGAGAATGCAAACAAGAGGCCATGAAAGGGAACTTGCCCTGGGAGAGCTTGGTCTAGCTGGGTGATGAGCACGATGCGACTGGCTCGGTGAAGAGCTGGCATCCTGCTCACACTGCGTGGCACTGTGGCTTCCTCGGCACAGGGTAAATATTTGCCAAGAGGGTGGACACGGCCGGGAAACCACGCAGATCCTACCTCTCCACCCATGACGCATCCCTCTCCTGTTTCCCTCCCCTCCCTGTGTTTTGAGAAGTGTTGTCTATCAAGTTAATTATACTCATTAAGTAATCATTTGTTTCTTTACCTGCTTTCATTGATTACCTATACTGATTTGGAAATGAAACCCTCAATGAGAACAGTATCTAGTTGATAGTTAGTTGTCCTATATGACCATTTTGGGATAACTGTTTTATTTCCCTGAGCCATTTTTGAATACTCCGCGGTGCCACTTTTGTGGCCCCAGTTGGAAAATCGCCGATCAGACCCAGTTCCCCAGTTTTGCTCAGATTGAAGCCTGAAGGGTCCAGCTACGTCCCTGGGGAGGCCAGCCCTCCACTCCAGACGGAGTGACCTGAACCCTCCCTAGGGCACAGGGCAGGGAGTCTGACGCCGTGAGGCTGACTGACCTCCCTCTGCCTCCTTCCCGCAGCTGTCAGCGACTATTTTGGGGGCAGCTGCGTCCCTGGGGCAGGAGAGACCAGTTACTCCGAGTCCCTCTGTCGCCTCTGCCGGGGCGACTCTGCTGGGGAGGGTGTGTGTGACAAGAGCCCCCTGGAGAGATACTACGACTACAGCGGGGCCTTCCGGTGAGAGGGGCCGGGGCGGGGCTGGCACTACGGTGGAGCTGAGTCAGGGGAGAGGCTTGGAGACCACATGAGCTGGGGAAAAACACCTCTGCAGAGAGAGCCCTGGGGGAGTGGCAATGTCCGTGGCATCTCATCAAAGCGCCCTTTATAGAGTTCATGTGCACTGGTTGGTTTAAAAACATCAAACTGGAATATGCCAGACTGGGTTTACTCATAAGTCAACATGTTTGGTATATTTACGGAGGTGAGACCTCAGAGAGAAGAAAATGACTAAACAGCCTTTTGCCTCTCCCATGTCCCCATTGTGGTGTCTCAGAGCAACAAGGAGAGTGGTGGGGGTGGGGAAGTGTGGCAGGGCCCCTTGTTCCTGACACTTTATATGAGCCCGCCATGGATCCAAAAGAGAGTCTAACAGCTGTGGTGCACTTCTGTCTGTCCACAAATGAGGAGACCTGCCCTCTGGGGGCTGGAATGGAACCCTGCCAAGTCCCTCTAACCACGCTGGCCTCAGTGTTTCCACCTGGAAGCGGGGAGCCTGCTGATGGCCTTGCTCCAGGGTGTGATCTGGGTAAATGCCATTTTTGGCACAGAGAAAAAAACAGTCCTCAGTTTTCCAAGCCAGAGTCTGTTGCCCACCCCACCTCTCCTGGTGTCATCCCCCCAGTCCAATCCCTGCCTATTTGCTGGCTGTGGGGACCTAGGCAGTCCCATTGCCCAGTAGGCCCTGACCTGCCTCCCTCACTGGGCAGTAACACATAGAGGACACATGAAAGTCCTGGTCCCTTCCACTCAGGGTTTTGGGTAAAGCATGAGAAGGTCTAGTCCCACCCGCTGCCTCAGGACAGAGTCATCTTCCAAACCCCCTGAGCATTCAGGCTGCAGATGATAGCAGCTGCCAAGTGAGCTCCTGCTCCTTTCAGGCCCCAGCTGCCCAGGCTCTGTACAGATGATAGAGAATCTCTCCCTATAGAACCATTTCATCATCCCCACTTCACAGACGATGCATAGTTTGGCAAAGCCACCCAGCCAACACACAGGACAGCTGGAACCCGAGACCGCGTGACTGTGAAGCCATGCCCACCATGCCCACTCCCACAGTCCAGGCCAGGCCTCCAGAGGTGGAGGTTGGGCAGGGGCCCAGGAGCTCAGGGAGCTCAGCTCCACCCAGATTCACAGGTTTCTCTTCCACAGGTGCCTGGCAGAAGGAGCAGGGGACGTGGCCTTTGTGAAGCACAGCACGGTGCTGGAGAACACTGACGGTGAGTGACGGGGGCGGGCCTCAGGAGCAGGAAAAGAAGAGCTGGGTCTCAGCAATGGGGTTCACACTGCTGCAGGAAAAGGGAAGAGGGGTCTTGGCTCCACGTAGGAAAGAGCTCAAACATACGCCAATATAATATTTAAAGTAAAAGTAAATCTATTTAACAGAGTAAGAGAGTGGTGGTCTGTAATCGCTAGTGGAAGGGAGACCCCCTTCATCCCCTGGGCCAGGGTTTAGGTATGTTTTCTGCTTCCATGAAAAAGTCATTGGTATGGAGGGGAAGGAGGATAGGAGAACAATGTAAGTTTATCATTCACTTCAGTAAGATGCAAGAAGAATAGAGGCAGGTTGGTTTTTAACTCTTGCAAAGCACAACCTGTGCATAATTTGCCAGTAGGCTTGCCTTTAGCTACGGGGATGGTCCTAATGGGATCTCTAGTCTTCTGGAGAGATTGCTCTGTCATTGATGAATGTCTGCCTGAGTTCTGTGACTCAGAGCACATAGGCAGCAGGCTTGGACTCCAACCTCTTAGTTGCTTTGTCTGTAAAAATAGTCCTCATACCCCTTCCTATATTAAAACTGCTCTTTCGGGCAGGGGGCTGGGTAAGCAGCTCTGACCTGCCATGATTTGTATACGGCATTGGGTTCCGTTTCCACCTGAAGATTGGGTTCTGCTTTTCAAAAAATGTTTGCAACCTCTGCACTAGCTCTCATCTACCTCCTTTCCTGGCATTTTTCTCCTTTTACCTGAAGAAGCTACCCTTTATCCCTGGACGGGGTCTTCTTGAAGATGGGTTAGTGTTATGTGTTGGTCCATTATATCGTTGTTGTTTAAATTGTTTTTAATTTTGAAATAACTGAGCTTTAGAAAAGTTGCAAGAATAATTCAAAGAACTCTTATTCATTCTTTACCCAGATTCCAACTTAGCATTTGCCACATTGATTTATCATTCTTTCTATATGTATGTGTTCTTTCTGAACTATTTAAGAGCGCAATTGCCTGCATCATACCCCTTTAATACATCAGTATGTATCTCCTAAGAACGAGGAGAGGTGGACTAGCCACAGTACAATTTATCAAATTCAGGAAATGTAACATTGACACAATAGTATTATCTAATCTACAGTCCATATTCCAGATTCACTAATTGTCCCAATTCTGTCTTTTACAGCAATTTTTTTCAGGCCAGGGCCTAATGTAAGATCGCACATGGTATTTAGTTGTTAGGTTCTTATTCGTTTCCTTTAAATAGTTTCTCAACGTGTGTGTGTGTGTGTGTGTGTGTGTGTGTGTGTGTGTGTGTGTGTGTGTGTGATATTGACATTTTTAAAGAGTCAGGCCACTTATTTTATAAACTGCTCCCTAATTTGTATTTGCCCAAGGATCATTTATTTTTTTTAATTGATGTATACTTTACACACAGCAAAATACACTCTTTTTCAAGCACAGTTCTATGAGTTTTGCCAAGAATATACATCTGTATAACCATCACCCAATCAAGACAGCGACTGTGACAGACCCTTCACCCCAAAAGTTCTTTCTAGTTAACCCTACCACCACCCCGCCTGGGCAATAACCAACCAGACTTTCGTCTCTATAGTTTTGGCTGTTCCAAAATGTCTGAGAATTGTCCATTTTAAAAAAATCATTATCTTTCTTGTTAATCTTTGCCTTTTATTTATTTATTTTTTAAGATTTTTATTGGGGAATTGGGGGGATGGGAACAGCGCTGGGGAATTGGGGGAAGGGGAACAGACAAGTTGCTGTTGTTTTTGTTCTTCAGTCTAGTTGTGGAGGACGTTGCTTCTCTGGTCCAAGTTGGCACCATCATTGCATTCTTCCCGGGCGAGGCACATCAGTCGCCAGCTTCTGGACGGCTGCTCACTGCAGCTGCTGGCCACTCACACTGGCTGCTGGCTACACACGGTAGCCCATGGCAACCCACTGCAGCAGTGGCGTCATCACCGGCGACTCACGGCAGCCCAGCTCCAGGTTGAGCTGTTGTGCAGCATCTTAGCTGTAGAGGGCAGTGTCACTGGCCCTCATATGTGGGATCCGAACCGGGGCCCTCTGGTGTCCCAAGCAAGCTCTTAACCAATGTGCCACTCAGCTGGCCCTAATCTTTGCCTTTTAAATCAGAATTTCCATCATGTAGTCTTACACTTATGAATGCAAACAACATGAGCCAGATATGAGAAAGAGAAAAAAGATGTCTAAAAAAGGAGGCTGCACATAGGATTGTCTCAAGAGCAGGACAATCCTTTGAAAACTGGCAGCAAGGACTTGGGCCGCAAAATGAGTCAAGCAAAGAAAAATTTGGAAGGTAGAGAAAGAATACTGATGTTTTGGGTTAAAATTGGCTCTTTTTAATTTCTTATGGTAATCTATGAAACTAATTTTTTAAAGGGTATCTTTATGAAAAGAGATTGGTAAGAGAAAGAGTGGAGTTGACATAAATGTCTAAAGTAGTGAAGTAACAGGGCTTTAATTGTCCCTGGCCAATGAAAAACAGGAATGGCAGATTGAAATACCTAAGTGATGCATTTATCTCACAGGAAGGCCAAATGACCCCACACAGGTGCATTTTGCAGCAGTTTAAAAATAGAGAAAGTTGGGGAGTGGGGAGAGAATGACACTGAGTAATTGCTGAGGGTGCTATAAATTATCATGTAGTCATTAAAAATGACCTTTGTGGAGTTTTCCAAATTATTACTCTCTTGGTTTTTGGGTTTTGTTTTTCAAGAGCTTTGGAGTGAACAGAGTTTTCATGAACCCACAAATTATCTTTCCCCCTCCTGTTTTCTAGCAGAGGCTTATCCTCCTTATTTGAATAGTTGGGTTAATATTGTATTAATACATGGGCAAAGCTTTGGGGAGTTACCCTTTTCTCTCTGGGACACAGATCTGGGTGGATTCCTGTAGAAGTTTGTTTCCACCATGGCCCCTGCCCACTGCCCTCTGCTCAGAGCCAATTTAGTGCCTGATGGCAGCATTGAACTCCTGGTACATTTCTCTCTCTCATCCTAAGTTTCTCTTATTCTCTTACTCTTCTTATCTTTAATAAACAGTTCCATTTATATGTGTTGTATACCTCAAATCCATTTTATTAGTAGAAATTGGTGAGAGGTAGACAATTTAAGAAAACAGACACAGTCTATTGAGACACCTGGTATTGTAAGGTGTAACCACCAAGCTCCTCTTCATTCTGAGTTCTGGCTCTCACCTCCTGGTGAAGTTCTGGTTCTCACCTCCTGGAAGAGTTTTTTGTCACCAGGGGTCTGTGGCCCATGATACCCTCGCCTCTCCACAGGCTCCTTCTCATGAGCTCTCCCCAAGCACCTCCTCCTGACGAAATCTGGCTCATCGCAGGCTTCATATTTTCCCAGGAAAAACACTGCCCTCCTGGGGACAGACACTGCTGTCACAGGACTTCAAACTGCTGTGCCGGGATGGCAGCCGGGCTGACGTCACGGAATGGAGGCAATGCCACCTGGCCCGGGTGCCTGCTCACGCTGTGGTGGTCCGAGCTGACACAGATGGGGGCCTCATCTTTCGGCTGCTCAATGAAGGCCAGGTGAGTTTAGGGCACCCCACACAGCTTCTGAAATAGTGCTGGCCCTTCTTATCGCTCACCAGGGTGGGAGCTCAGAGCTAGAGCCATCGTGGGGCTGGGCTAGCTAGACCAGGAGGACAGAACCCAGAGAACCTCCCCTGGGACAGACCCCTACTGGGGACCCAGGCCTCTGTAGTGTCCAGCCTCAGGTCAGGTCAGTGTAAGGAGGGGCCGACTGTGCTAGGTGGCAGCGAGGAGCGTTGGCCAGGGAGGGGAGACCAGGGGACGTGCACTCTCAAAGAAAGCTCCTGGGACTTGTGGCTTTTAAAATGAAAACCAGAACATATGAGCAAATAAACAAAATGACAAAACCAATACATGTGAAAATACACCATAAATGAAATATGATGAATAATATTTTGCTGAAACTACTGCTTACAAAAGCAGCAAGTTTCTGACTGCTGGGCACACCGGCTTTAGTTTTGCCCCACTGCTTGTCCTCAGTAGCATCCCACACCTGAACCACAAGTCATTTTTCCAGTCAGCTGAGTGTGACAAGGAAGAATGTACCGAGGGAGCACAGAGGAAGGAGGGAGGCGGTGCCTCATCTGGTCCTGAGTGCGTACCTGGCCTGAGAGCGCAAGAAGAAGGAGGTGGTGGCTGACGTGGGAGGAAAAGGTGTGGCCCCAGCAGCACCTCACCAGCCCCTGCCCCCACCCCTTGACACACAGCGTCTGTTCAGCCACGAGAACAGTAGCTTCCAGATGTTCAGCTCTGAGGCCTATGGCCAGAAGAACCTGCTATTCAAAGATGCCACGTCCGAGCTGGTGCCCATTGCTACACAGACCTATGAGGCGTGGCTGGGCCCTGAGTACATGCATGCCATGAAGGGTCTCCTCTGTGACCCCAACCGTAAGTCTCTTGTCCTGCCATCTCCAGCCCAACCTAATCCCAAGAATGGCAGGGAATTCTGGAAAGGTAGCTGGGGGAGGACACCCACCCTGGGAGGTTTGCCCCCTTGGCCCTGAACCTGTTGGTCTGAGGAGGAAGCATCTCTGGAATCCAATGGCCTGCTGATCCCTGGAAGCCCTGCCTCTCCAGGGGCTGGGATCCAGGCCATCAGGGCCTGTCTTGAGAAGGGCATCCTCCTCCGCTCCACACCGAGTCATCACGTCCTGTCATTTTCTTTCCACGATGCCTCACTCCTCCTCCTTCCCACCCCATGGCCATAGCCCTGGCTCAGGCCTTGTCTCTCGCCTGGACCACTGAGTCACCTACGAATGGGTTTCCTGCCTCTGGCCCCCATCCTCCACCTACAACCAGGGAAGTAGTGAGACGCTGAGTAGATACATGGCTGTCAGGATCTGCCCCGTGCCTCCTCACAGCCCCAAGAAAGAGGTACAGTTATCCCCTTTCTATATGAGGACATAGAACCAGATTGTTAAATAACTTACTCCTTTATAGCTAATGAGGGAAAGACCCAGAATTTCCCTTGAGTCTGACTCCAAGCTCTTTTGTTCTGAGATCCCAGCCCCCACGGCTCCCACCCCACAGGCTGTGCTTAGGGCAGCCCCTAAAGCAGGTGAGTGTGTGGTGACCATGTGCTCACACTCGCACAGGGCTGCCCCACTACCTGCACTGGTGTGTGCTGTCCACTCCCGAGATCCAGAAGTGTGGGGACATGGCTGTGGCCTTCAGCCGGCAGAGACTCAAGCCAGAGATCCAGTGTGTGCCAGCCGAGTCCCCCCAGCACTGCATGGAACAGATCCAGGTGGGGGCTGTGCCTGGAGGGGCAGAACGAGGCAGGTGGGTGGGTGGTGGCAGTGCCTAGGATGGTCCTTACCACCTTCTTCTACCCCACCTGGTGTGGAGGATACCGGGCAGCCTGGGGAAGAGAAGGTCTCTTGTGACAATTCCACAGAGAAAGGGGAGGAAGAAAGACCCACCCCACCCTAGGGACCAGCCACCCCACCCTAGGGACCAGCCACCCCACCCTAGGGACCAGCCATCCCACCCTAGGGACCAGCCACCCCACCCTAGGGAACAGGGCACAAGGGGGACTGTTTCCCCCGGGAGAGCCCAGGGGCCACTCTGAGTGCGTGGCCAGGAGCAGAAGGAGCGTGAGGCTGGCCCAGCTCAGCGCTGGCCGACCCCGTGGCCTTGGGCAAGCCCCTTCCCCTTTCTGCGTCTCAGTTTCCCCTGAGTGGGAAACTGGGTGGGCTCGGATCATTGTGTGTTAAACATTTTGACAACAAACCTCAGTCTATCACAATCTAGGATACAATCACAATCTAATACACAAAAACTTATCTTTCAGATATAAATATGTAAAAAAAACTTCTCTATATAGAGAGTTATGTACTTCCCCTTACTAAGTGCAATGCACGCTGATAGTCTCTGTTCTATCCATTTTGTTTGTTTGTTTGTTTGTTTGTTTGTTTTTTCAAGCGTGTCCTGGCACTTTAAATTGATTTGGCATCTATTAACATGCCTGCTACCTGCAGTTAAAAGCACTTGTCCTGGTCTCAGTGGCCTATTCAGCTCTGTGCTGGTTCTCTGACTGGAGACTGAGGCCAGGACTCGGAGGCGGCCCCGGGATCCTGCAATCAGGAATGAGGTCTTACTGGGGCCACAGGTGTCCTCACAGCCCCTGGGTTCCTGGACTCCTCCCCTCCCATTTTTTAAGAGCAAGTAAGTGGGGGATGATGGTTAAGGAGCTCTTTTCAGGGTGGTCCCCAAGTGCAGAACAGGCCACAGCGTCTCAAGAGTGTCTATTCTGCCTCAGCTTTTTTTAGTTTTATCTTTTAATTTTTCCAGTTTTATTGAGATACAATTTTTTTCCATGTCAAAGCAAATTATTTATTTTTTACTTTTTATTTTTTATTTTTTATTTTTTTATTATTAGTTTCTATTATTTTATTTTATTATTATTTTTTTATTCTGCCTCAGCTTTATCCCTCTGCCCTGGAACCTCCTTCACAGACCCTGAGGTTCCATCCTTTTAAGAACCAGCTCTTTCATCAATTTGCACACACATTCAACAAACATGCCTTGCATACATGCTATCTGCCAGCCCTTGGCCAGGTGTGGGGATACAGTACAGTGCCCCAGGCCTCTGAGGACTGGCAAGCCATGGGGAGACCCCATACCAAACATGAGGACGGTGATGATGCTAGGCTGTGCTCAGGAGACACTCTCCTGGCAAAAGGAGACCCTCAGAAAACATTTGCTGAAAGAATGAAAGACACCCATGAATGGGAGTGCTAGTGGTAGTTGGTTTCAGGCCTCTGGTCCCCTCTTGCCTGTACATCTTCACGAGGACAGGAAGGAGCCAATGGGGCAGGATGGCATCATCGGGGGAAGGGAGCCTGAAGCCAAAGTCCCCAGGAGACCCAGCACTGGTACCTCCATCAGATCCTGACACCCAGAGCCATCTTGGAGCCCACCCCAGCCCGGCTGCTCTTTCTATCCTCCCTGCAGGCTGGGCAAATTGACGCCGTGACTCTGCGGGGCGAGGACATTTACATGGCAGGGAAGACATATGGCCTGATTCCGGCGGCCGGGGAGCACTATGCTGGTGAGTGCAGGGGAGGTAGATAGATAGATAGATAGATAGATAGATAGATAGATAGATAGATAGATAGATGATAGATAGATGATAGATAGATAGATAGATATCCTGCCCCCCTAGGCTGCTTTCAAAAGCTCCAGCCCTCCCTCAGTTCCTCTGTCCCTGGGCTGGCTGCTGGTTGTCACAGGCAAGCCTCTCCTGCCCCAGGCCTCAGTGTTTCCATCCAGTCATTGAAAGCCTGACAGGAGTCAGCAAGCTTTCTGTAAAGGGTCAGAGAGTAAGCACTTTGGGCTTTGCAGGCCACATACAGACTGCTGCAACCCTTTTGGTTTTTTTCCAACAACCCTTTAAAAATATAAAAACCATGCTTAGATTGCAACCCAGGTGGAACAAAACCAGGCTAAGCAGTGTGCCGACCAACGGCCTCCTCAGCCTCTTCCAGCCTGACCATGTAGCTCACAAAGGTGGCCCTCCTCCTTGTCAGCTCATGCACACCTCCCCAGGGGCCTGGGCTAGGGCCTTGGTGCTCTGTCCTCCTAAGTGGTGACCTCAGGTCCCTTCCTCTTGGATGTGAACTATCTCTGGGCTTAGAAGAAATGCTCCTGCAGCCTCAGCTGTGCTTCCACTTTTTTTCCCAGGAGGTGATAAAAATACCACCTGGGTGTAAGGAAAGGAAAAAATTCCTTTGGGTGAGCACTGTTGGTGGGTGAAGGGGTGGGAGAAAAAATTCTGGAAGTGGAGCCTCAAGCTGCTTCTCAGCACTGGGGGGACAGGCAGGGGTCCCACTGCCAGATGTGCTCCCTGCACACCTACCTGGCTCTGTGGCCTGGGCACACCTGAGCTGGTGCAGCCAGGGCCTGGACACTGGGGTGTTGTTTTCCGGGGTGGAAAACAACAGGAGGAAAAAGGTGAAGGAACAAGGGACCCCTGGGATGTGCCCTGGCTCTAGCCCTGCTGAGGGACCTCACTGGTGTCTCTTTCCCCCAGCGGAGGACAGGAGCAACTCGTACTTTGTGGTGGCGCTGGTGAAGCGGAACAGCTCCTATGCCTTCACCCTGGATGAGCTGGCGGGCAAGCGCTCCTGCCACTCGGCCTTTGGCAGCCCTGCTGGCTGGGACATCCCCGTGGGCGCCCTTGTGCAGAAGGGCTTCATCCAGCCCAAGGACTGCGATGTCCTCACAGGTGCCACTCTCCAAGGGAACACAAACTCAAAAACTCTTCTTTGGGATTGGCTGGGGCTGGGGACCCTCTCCCAGCAGGACCCCAAAGAAGGCAGCTCTGGAGAGTTTTCCCCTTACTCCTTGATGTGACCCTCGCTTTTGGGAGGGTTGGGACATACTCTTGGCCACACCATGACAGTCAGGGGTATCAGTCTGGGGGTTCTGTGGTGCCATGGTGCCCCTACCCACTTACCCAGAATGAAAGTGGTTCCAGTGGGTGTGGGGAGCAGGGTGTGCATGGGCTCTGGACCTGGCTGTTTCACCATCCAGCCATGAGGCTGTCCCCATCCCCCAGCAGCCTTGGGCATCAGGAGGACCATTGGAAAGTGGCCAGACATCTGTGTAAGTGCTGAAGAAGACACTTTTACCAAGCACCCGCCATATGCCACCCATGGGGCCCTCCCCATGTGTTAAATCATGCACATTTCTGGTGAAAGGGAGGCAAGAAGAAGCTGGCAAGATCCTTAGGCTGACTGCACACACACCTCTGTCCTGCCTGGCACCTCAGGAAACAAAACACTTTTTTTCTAACCACCTACACAAGCACACAGAGGGTGTTAGGATTGGCTGCTCCCACTCTCAGACAACTGGGCATGTGCTCTGACTGGAACAGAAGAGCTTATGAGGTAGTGAGTTCCCCTTCCCTGAGGGAGTTCAAGGGCAGATTAAGTGACTACTTACCAGAGGTTGTCCATGGGGTTCCTATGTCTACACAACTTCTGTACCTTCTCATACCTGCAATTCTCACAGGAGGAGGTGTGCCACTCTGAACTGGGTGGGCAGTGGAGTAAGTGGGTGGCCTTGAGCTGCGGGGCCAGGCAGGGTGGACAGATCCGAGAGGAAGTAGCCCTCTCATCTCCTCTGAGTCGGCCCCTCAATACAGCCCTTCCCCTCCACCCCAGCGGTGAGTGAGTTCTTCAGCGCCAGCTGTGTGCCCATGAACAACCTCAAGCACTACCCATCCTCACTGTGTGCGCTGTGCGTGGGGGACGAGCAAGGCCGCAACAAGTGCGTGGGCAACAGCCAGGAGAGATACTTCGGCTACAGCGGTGCCTTCAGGTACTCGGGTGGGCCTGGCGGGTGGGCTTGGGGCCGGGCACTGAGGCTGGGACCCTCCAGCCAACACCTGCCTTGGCCTCTTGTGTGGCAGGTGCCTGGTTGAGAATGCAGGGGACGTCGCCTTTGTCAAGCACACGACCGTTTTTGACAACACGAATGGTACGTGAGGGGGACTGGGGCCAGAGCAGGACCAGATCCTGGAGAGGGGCTGTTCCCCAATATGATCTAGGCACCAGATGTTGCCTAGATTGAGGGCCAAACAGCAGTGGGAAAGACTGAGTCTAGAAGGCTCTGCCCCTTGGGGATCCCTGGTGCCCCAAAAGCCTCAAGGTAAGAACAGGCCTCTGGCCACACGTCCAAGTGTGCAGGACACATGACAGCTTTTCCTGGTCTGGAGTCCAAATCCCCATTCCATCGAAATGGTGGAAACTCAATCTCAATCAATGTGGAACATTTATTCTGGGGAAATTATGTGGTACCAAGTTGTGTGGGTGAGGGTGGCAGGAGCCTTCCTCCACAGGGTCATCAGTTCACATCAGCATCTGGTCTTCGGTCCTGAGCAGGTCAATGCCACATGCAGGGAAAGCACTCCGCAGCCCCTAAGCCACGAGAAACAGGGCACAGCCCCATTCACATCGCATGGGTGGGTTTTCTCTGGAGTCACGTTCCTGGACTTCGCTTGGGAAAAATAGCTCAGGAACTCTGTGCTCCAGGACCCCCTCAGCCCACACCTGAGGTCATGTGGGGGTACAGGGCCTCTTAGTATGCTTCACCTTCCTCCCCCTCCATTCTCCATCTGTCAGAGAATCTCCGTTCTGAACACAGGAGACCGTTTCCCTCCAACACCTATTGTTTGTACTTCTGGATAACCTGCCTACCCCCAGGCTTTGAAACCCCAAATGCTGGAGACACAGTGTTCTCCACTCTGTCCTAACACATCTCTACCCACAAACTCCATGCAGAAAGGTATAGCATGGCCCAAGGGGAAGCAGAGATTGGTGAAGGGGAAGCAAGACATGCAGGGAAAGGAACATCAGTTCGTATTTCAAATCTCAGATCCCTCCTGCCTATGGCGACAACTGAGCTGGGGATGGCTCCAGGTCCTGCTGCCACAATTCCTGTCCCCTGCCCACCTCCCGCCAAGAACACTGGGGACCATCTTCCAGGAGCAGGAAGCTGAGGGCTCCTGCAGGAGCCTGTGAGCTCTGCCTGGTCCCAGCCCCGTGCCCTCTGTGGTTGGGGAGGCCGTGCAAGAATCACCTGCAGTGAGGCGCCCGCTTTCCAGGGCTGCTCATCTCCCTTTATTTTTATCTCGACTCATGGGCCCACCTGGAGCTCCTTCTGGAGATGGGAAGGAGGTGGATACTAAGTGAATACACGAGACACAAAAATAATGTGACTCCCAAGCGTAGTGTTTCTCAGGAAGCCCTTGGACCAGCCACCCTCTTCAGGATCACTGGGAAGCTGGACCCCATTCTAGACCTAGTGAATGAGATTCCTTGCAAGCAAGGGCCTTAGAACTGCCTCTTCTAGGTCCACACATGATGTTATGCCCCTTCTCGTTTGAGAACTTCAGCCATTAGGGGAGGTCAACCACCACCTTCAGGAACCCATCCCACTCTCAGGCCTGAGACCTGTAGCACTCAGATGGGGTTCTTTGCCTGGAAGTGATAAAGAACTTTGGTTTCTTCACCTGTAAAGTGGGGGTGATCATACCTGCCTGGCGTTGCTATCTTGAGGATGGGGCAGTGCTTTAAAAATTCCTGTCACACAGTAGGTACTCCCTATTCCCTACAAACAGAGCTCCTGCCAACACTGTGAGCCCAACTGGGCTCTCTCATCCTGGTAACAGAGCAGAGCAATTGGAGAATGGAGAGCGTTGGGGAGCTGGCCACACATTGCCACCTCTTCCCAGTCCATGATTTGGGGATTCAGGAGAGAGCAACCTCTCTCTATTCCTTCCTCTCTCCCTCCCTCTCCCTCTGTTACACCCCTTCAGGTCACAATTCTGAGCCCTGGGCTGCTGAGCTCAAGTCGGAGGACTATGAGCTACTGTGTCCCAATGGGGCCCGGGCCGAGGTATCTCAGTTCGCAGCCTGCAACCTGGCACAGATACCATCTCATGCTGTCATGGTCCGGCCAGACACCAACATCTTCACTGTGTATGGACTGCTGGACAAGGCCCAGGTGAGCCAGGGCAGGGGCTACATTATCGGGGGGGGGGCAACAGAGGTGAGCCAAGTCCCCAGGACACCTCAGTCTACCTGGAGCAGACCTCAAGAGAAACTGCGAATGCCTGGGGCAAAACTCAATGAGTCTTCACTTAGCCAAGGACACCCCTCCAACCACTCTCCCCTCTGTCTCCTGCATTATTAATTTTCCCTTCTCAGCTGGACTATTCTCATGCTGTTATTTCTACCACTTATTTTTTAAAAAGAAAGAAAGGAAGGAAGGGAGGGAGGGAGGGAGAGAGAGAGAGAGAGAGAGAGAGAGAGAGAGAGAGAGGAAAGAAAGAAAGAAAGAAAGAAAGAAAGAAAGAAAGAAAGAAAGAAAGAAAGAAAGAAAGAAAGAAAGAAAGAAAGAAAGAAAGAAAGAAAGAAAGAAAGAAAGAAAGAAAGAAGACAGACAAAAAAAACACCTCTCTTGGTCTCACATCCTCTTGTAGTCATAACCCCACTGCCCTTTACAGCAAACTCCTTCAAAGATCGTCCCTGCTCTAGAGCCTCCTTCTGCTCTCTCTTAAGGATGGAGACTACTCTAGACCAGCCTCCACCAGGGCCTGGAAACCGCCCTGGTCAAGGGAACAGAGACCCATTTTTCTCAGCCACTCCTCCCAGTCTCCTCATTTCCCCAGCCTACAACAGCTGGAGTGCCCCCAGGGTTCAATCCTAAACCCTCCTCTCTGCCATACCTACACCCCTATGGATCTCATCCAGTCCCATGTCATTAACTGCCATCTATATACTGATGGCTCCTAAATGTACATCTTCAGCTCTGCTGCCATCCACCCTTCAATCTTAAATTTGCATCTTTAACAGCAGCCTACTTGACATTTCAGCTGGTTTTTCTAACAGGCGTCTCACACTTGAACAAGTCCAAGTTTGGGTGCTCGCCTTCCCTCAGTCCTCCACACTTCAGTAAAGAGTGGCTTCAGCTTTCCATTCCCTCGGGAGTCATCTTGGACTCCAGTCTTCCTGTCATGCTCGGCATCCACTCCATCAGTAAAGCCTGCTGGCTGCACTTTCAAAATGCATCTAGAATTCGAACCCAGGCTGTCTGACGATGGAGTCCTTGGCTCCTAACCCACCCCTTCTCCCCTCCTCCCCCTTCTCCCTAGACCTTCTGACGTGATGTGAGGGAAGGACACTGGGTGGATGTGCATTTTTGGAGGGAGAAGGCGGATAGCTTTCATCAGATCCTCAAGTGGATCCTTAAGTGCCCGCAGAAGACTGACAGCCACTTGACTCCTTAGTACGCCAGCTTAAGCATCTCTGACTCCAAATCCCTTTTGACAACAGAGGTCAATGAGTTGTCAAACTTAGGATTTCAAATCGGAGTCTTGGTGCCCTGACATTGCCTGCTTTTTGGTTCATTGTATGTAAAGCAATAAATAGCAGGTGGCCCCTGGGTGACAATTTGTGAGCCCAGATGAAAAACAGGCCTGCTTGTGGTGCTTCCAGGACCTGTTTGGAGATGACCACAATAAGAACGGGTTTAAAATGTTCGACTCCTCCGACTATCATGGCCAAGACCTGCTTTTCAAGGATGCCACGATCCGGACAGTGCCTGTGGGAGACAAAACCACGTACCGCGACTGGCTGGGCCTCGATTACATGGCGGCTCTGGAAGGCATGCTGTCTCAGGAGTGCTCAGGTGCAGGTAGGGCCCCGACTGCTGGGCAGGCAGCTGTGAGAGCCCTGGACGGGCCAGTTCACACCCCACAGAGGAAGAGCGGGCATCCTGCCACATTCCCCTGCATCGTTCTAAGCTTTTCACCTGAAAACCTTGAGTGAACTGATGGGGTCTCTGGGTCGTTACAAATGAGCAAGACGAAGTGTCTTGGAAGGGTCTGAATAGGAAGGCTGCAGTTACAGCAGAAACACTAGCTGTATAACTCAGACAGACCTAGATAATGAATATAAATGCTAAAAATAATCTTCCAGAAAGGATGAGGCAGCTATACATAAATATCCACGTAGTATAATTTTGAAAGGAATGAATATGTAAAGAAACCAAGGGAATGAAAAATTGTAGCAGGGTAGAAAGAGGGAGCTGGGTGAGTTTAGTGCACAGACACGCGTTCCATCAAGCCCTGCACGTGAGTGCCAGCCTAGGTGCCTTAATGCCTGTGTTTCGTCCCTCAGCGGCCACGGCCTCCAGGGCCTCCCTGCTCCTGCTCCCGCTAGCCCTCACGGTCTGCCTCCTCCAGCCCGCCCTCTGAAGCAGCTCTCAGCAAGCCTCACCCTCTCTTGGAATGGACACCTCCTCAGAAATCTCTATAAATAAGGCTGTTCTCCTCAGTAAATCCAGCTAACGCTGCCCAGAGAGAAACGTGTGATGGGAGAGGAAATGTGAGAAACCATGGAGCTCTTAAGAGCTGTGATTTCAACACTGAAGTTTCTGTGATTGCTTCAAAGTGGTATAAAGAAGAATGTTAAAGAAAAGTCCTCCAACTTCAAGTTGGACGTGAGCAGGTCTCTCCTGCTGGAGCCCAGCCTCTGCCTCCCAGGCACCACCTGTCGTCCTGCTACCTGAGGCGTGCTGGCCGGCCTCCCAGTCACGGCCCACCCACAGGCTGCTACTGCTTCTCTGCAAATCTGCAGGCTCCCACCACATGGGGCCTCACCAGGCTTAGTTTTGGAAAAGGCCAGTTACCAAGGAAACAGGCTGAGCCCGGGCTTCCCACATGGCCTTCTCTGCTGGAGCGACTCAAGGGAGCCTGGTGAGATGCCGGGCCTACCGGACCCTCCCCTGTTAGTTCCCACTTCCCCCTCTGGAGAATGGACACTGCACCTCCCATCAGCCCCTGCTCCATCTGTCCTCTAGGCTCTCTGTTCCAGCGTCCCTCCTGAGGACACTGTGTCTGTCTGTCCACTGAGACATCCACCAGATGAGGCTACAGCCAGGCCCTCTAAGGAGGAGTAGCTGCTGAGCACAGGCAGCCCCTTGTCCTTGTCTTCTGTGGCTTGGTTTGGCCCGGGCCATTGGACTCCCGATTGTGCTGGGCTGGCGAGGACAGGGAATCCAGGGCTGAAACCCTTAAGGGATCCTCGGACAGAGGAAATGCTTCTTAGTAAGAATTGTTACTAGGTGTGGGGCTTAATGCAGTGTTGGGGGTCTAAAATCCTGTCTGTTGTAAGGAGGGCAGGCCTCTGAACTGGACAAGCTGTGTGCCCTGACTTTCAGTGAATTCGGCTGCACCAGGCTCTGTCCTGGGGTTAAGCCCAGTCGGCAGGAGTCCTCACCCCTGCATTTCCTCCTCTTAGCTCCATCTCAGATTATCACCCTTCTCCTGCCCCCAGTGTGACACCCACCACTCCACAGCCACTCCTGTATATCCAGCCGCAGCAGTTGCCTGCAGACCAAGGGCTCAGTCTCTAGGACTGCCCAGGGAGCTCTAGGACTTAGAGCAGGAGGTGGCCCAGACCTCTGGGGCAGCATGAGACCCTCCGAAGAGCCAGGAATGGGCAAATTCCATTTGCTTTGTCAGAGGAGCCACAGACCCATGTTAGGTACTGATGGAAGCTCCTAATAGTGTGAGAAGGGGGTCTCTTCACCCAGCCCTATACCAAGTGGGCCCAAGGGCCACTCACTCTAAAAGAAGGTCCCTCCTTCCTGTCCCCTATGAGAGTCAGCAGAAAGTGCCTGGAGAGGACCCTCTCTCTAGTCCATTACTGCCACCCTTGTCTCAGGAGCCAGAAGTTTCCAGAACTGCCAGCTCTTACTCTGAATTTTGCTCCCAGAAAAAAAGTAAAAAGAGAGAGAAGTAACATGAGCAAGCCACTCTCGTCAGCAGACTGGGAGCTGCGTGGGCCTAGAGCTATTTGCATCCCAGTCTGCGGGGGCCTCAGGGACACTGATGACAAGCTGGGTTCCCAGTGCTGCGCCCCCTCCTGTGGGCGTTCGGACGGATCCTTTCCATCTCTCAGCAGCAAAGAAGGCCCCTGGCAGCATCCTGGCCATCATCACACCATCCTGAGGGGTCCTGGTCACCATACTAGGGCAAGCCTGCACCCTACTGTGAGGGGTCAGAAAAAGCCCTGCCTCTGCTAGCCTCTGCACTGCGGAGAGCAAATGTTTCTTTTCTGATCTGATGATCGTTTGATGTTTTTTTTTAAGGGAGATTTGTACAGTGAGAAGCATATTTCTGTGTGGCTACTGCGAGCCAGTGTTCCGCCCAGGTGTGTGACACCTGTACTGTGAGCCACCGAAGGGGTGACCTGTGTGAGTGCTGTGTGACGTTTGATTGGCAAGTGACAGCAGGGGGCCACCGCTGTGTTAGTGCTCATAAAAGATGTTGGTTTGTTTTAGCAATAAAGCCAAACAACCCTGCACCTCCTGAGGCTTGAACTCTGATAGAAGCTTTCTGCTGCTGATTGGTTTGGTCCTCTTAGGTGGTCAGAGGATGGCCTGCCCAAGCCACTCCCCTGTCCACTCAAAATGGCAGCTTCCATTCAGAACCCTGTTCCCTGAGAGCCAGAGGCAGGGACCAGTCGGGCCCCCAACTGTCCTCTCCAATCTGGACTGGTCCCTGGCACATTTCATCTGCCTCCACCCCCCTCAGCCTCTTGGGTGTCCGCTTCTCTGGGGACCAGACACAGAGAAGGGTGCAAACTCCTCCATCACCTTGTGTCTCCAAAATAAGCTGCCCATACTTTGACTTTGGCAAATTGGCTGCTAACTCCCTGGAATAGGGGAAAGGGGGGTCAGATCTCTGACAATCCTCACAGTGGGCGCTCTCTGGCCTGTCCTGAAGTGTGATGGCCAAGCTGGTCTTGGTCAGGGTCTTGCTCTGGCTCGGGGAGTGGGGTTCTCTATATACCCCTCTCTCACAACTCTGGTCCTTCACTCTACCCCCAGGCTACCCTCCCGCACTCATTGCAGCCATGTCACAGAGCTGGGTCTCACTCCCCACTGCACACAGGCCATTCCTGGGCTGTCGGCCCAATCATCGTGAAGCCAAGTGGCCTGGGAACCTGGCGGCAGAAGTTGATGACAGTGACTCTACACCATGTGGCAGTTTCGGCCACTTAGCTCTCCTGGTGCTGCCCCTGGCCCCTTGAAGCTTTGGGAGAGTTACTTAACATTGGAGGCCCATTTACTCATCTGAAACATAAGCAGAATAATAATACCCAGCTGGTGAGGTTGTTGTGAAGATTAGATAAAATTATACTACACATAAAACATTCAGCACCATAGTTGGCACATCACAGGTGCAGAAAAGACATTCACTATGACTGTTGCTATTACTCCAGGCGCTTGTTTTGGGGGCTTAAGTTTCAAATTCCTGAGAGAGATCATCTAATTGGCCCAGTGTGGGTCAGGTGTCTCCTATTGGGCCAATCAGCGCAGACCAGCAGCTGGGTGCCTAGCTGAAACTTGGCCACTGAGGCCTCAGAGAAAGAGGAAATTGAAGTGTTGTGAGCCAGGCAGCCATCCCAACTGGTGGTTACCAGGCCTGTTTTAGGTGATATTTGGCATTCGTTAAGCAAATATTTATTGATACCTAGTCTTAGTACCCCCAGACTTGGGCAAAAGGGACCCTGGTCCTGGGTTTTGTGCTTTACAGCAGTACTTGCCAAACCTTGATGTGCACACGAATCCCACGGACCTTATCTCATGCCAATTCTTTTTTTTTTTTTTCAATTGGGGAATTGGGGAAAGGGACCAGCCAAGTTGTTGTTCTTCAGTCTTAGTTGTGGAGGGCGCCAGTCACCATCTGGCTGCCCATCGGCAGCTCATGGCCTCTAAGCTCAAGGTGCTGTGTTACAACCTTAATTGCGGGTGGGCGTAGCCACCATCCCAGGCAGGGGTTGAACCAGCAGCCTTGTTGTTAAGAGTGCACGCTCTATCCACTGAACCATCCGGTGGCAGCTCAGCTCAAGTTGCAGGCGGGCATAGCCCACCATTGAACAGGCAGTCTTGTTGCTCAGAGCACATGCTTTCACCAGCTGAGTCATCCTGCCACCTGTTGGCAGCTCAGTGTCAGCTCAGCTCAAATGCAGCATCATTGGCCCATGTGGGAACCGAACCAGCGGCCCTGTTGCTCAGAACTTGCGCTCTTCAGCTAACTCTTAACCAGTTGAGCCACTCGGCCGGCCCCATGCCTATTCTGATTCAGTAGGTCTGGAATGTGGCTAAGAGTCTGCAGCTCTAACCAGCTCCCAGGTGGTGCCCATACTGCTGATCCAGGGACCACATTTTGAGAAGTATCCCTCAGTGGCCTCTGCTGGAGCCTGCCTCTAACCACCCAGTGGGAGGAGTCACAGGGAAATTGTGTGTTCACCCAGAGCCCATACTCTATCTCGTATACCATGCTCCTGAAATTCTTTCCCAAGCAGTTCTGAGGCAGCTTCCAGGGTTTGGACAGGCCCCTCCTCCAGGTCCTGCCTCCCAGGGTAGTCAAAGGTGACTCTTTGCAGGAGATATAGATGGAGCTTGATGAAAAGGCCACAGTGTCCACTTGCACATGCACAAGCCCCTCAAAATATGGGATGGAGCTTGGGTGGGAAGAGAGGGGGTGATCAGACTGAGTCCGAATTGTTACAAGATTGTGCCTGAGAAGCCACAAGCCCAAAGAACACACCAGGTGGCTGAGTGTGAGACATAGGTTTATTGAGACTTACAGACTGGAGAGGGTCTCCAGTGGCACCGGCCATACGGGTAGTGATCCACCCCCAGCAGAGAAGAAGCGAGGTTATACAGGTACAGCAACACAAAGGACATCCCGCAAGAGAAATCATCTGGCAGACCCTGCAGGCCTGCTCCCATGCACACAGCATCCCATGGAGCTGGGAGACCTTGCCTGCCTGCTAGCTTACCTGCCTGTGGGCCAGGTCCCTACAAGGGGTGGGCTGTGGGGTAAGAGGAGCCTATTCTCTCTGCACCTCATATTCCAGTTTGCCAAGTCTTTAGAAAGGTTTATTTGTCAAAGTAGAACACATTTTATTTAAGTTGTGAGCTGAATTTGTAACTGTAAATTTGTAGCCACATGGTAGTTGGGTCTCCATGGCTATTCTTGCTCTAGGCTCCACCAATGTTTGGGGTGGGCTGGCCTACTGTGTGCACAGCTGTTCAGCTCTAGCAGTCCTGTTCTCAGGGCTCTGAAGATACAAAGAAGTGTAAGGCCCACTGCTCCTGTACCTGGTCTCGGTTGGATAGGCCTCTGAGCTGGTGTGGTGGAAGAAAGGACAGTGAGAAGGTGACTACATCCCAACAAAGACAGGTGGGTCCTCCTGGCCCACACAGCACATCGCAGACAAGGCATCCACCCCGCCTTTGGCCTCCTCCCCAGGGCTCTCTTTACATGAGGGTGGATTAGAGCCACATTCTTATAAAAGATTCATACAATAGATATACATGCTACAATTTTTTAAAAAGGTATTTCAAATTGGAAAAAAAAAATTAGATAACTTACCTAGAGTTCAGGAAACTTGAATTCTAGTCCCATTTTTGCTATTCAATTTGGGCAAATACTTTCTCCTGTTTCAATCTCATTTCCCAAATCTGTGAAATGGAAACTCGGATGGTCTCTCAGTAGTTTCTAGCTCTAACAGTTATTCTTAGACTCAAAACTGTCTGTCTTCACAGGATTATTTCCTGGTCTGTGCTGAAGCGTAAAGGGGCCAGGTGGGCTCTTTTGGATTTCTGTCTTTCCCAGCTGTCTTCGGGTTGGCACTAATAGCCCAGGAGCTGTTTTACAACCTGTAAGTCATATGTCACTGGTTCTCACCCTTGAGCCTGTATCAGAGTCACCTAGAGAGCTTCTTATGAAACAGAATGCTGAGCCTCACTCCTAGAGTCTCTGATTCCATGGGGCCAGGGTGGGGCCAGAGAATGTGCATTTCTGGCAAATTCTCAGGTGATGCCAATCAGGCCACCTCACTTTTGAAGACCGCTGTTAAAGACAATATGAGCTCACATCCCATGAGGGCATGACAGGTGCCTGCACCCGCGAGGTGGAGGGCTTGGGTGAGAAGAGTATTACAAAGTCCTCACAGAGGAAGCTGGACCCAGCCTGGAAGAAGAGACAGGCCTGTAACCATGGCCTCTATTCTGTCTCCATGGAGACAGGTGGGATGTGCAGGACGATTCCAAAGCACCAGCCAAGGTGTCCTAGCAGATAGCTGAGAGTCTGGGGCAGAATTCTGACCTCACTCCCCTTTTTCCTTTCCCTCCTTTGCCCAGCACGGTGGTTCTCTCCTCCTTCTGGTCCTTGTACCTTCCACTGTGAATTTCTGAGTAGGGCTTTCAGAAAGAGGTGATGACTCAAAGGTTAACATGAGGAACAATATGATCAGAATACCCCCTCTTCCTTCTCCTAGCTTCTGATATCCTCAGAAACCTCCAAATCTGTATTCTCTACTATGGCCAACCTTTGGGACGCGAGGGAACAAAGAGAAGGGCCTGGTGATGTTCTGAGCAGGGCATTCTTCGCTAAAATCCCAGTCCAGTCAGCTTCATGAGAGACTCTGCCTGTGACCATCCAATATCCTTCTCTCCTTTTTCCTTTCTAGCAGACTCCAATTTGGTTCAGGATGGCAATGAGCCCAGTTAAAAATATTCACTATGGATGTAAGGGTGACCTGGCTGCGACATCTGTCACCCCATTGATCGCCAGGGGTTGATTCGGCTGATCTGGCTGGCTAGGTGGGTGTCCCCTTCCTTCCTCACCACGCCATGTGCGTCCCTCCCGAAGCTGCGTGCTGGGTCGAAGAGGACGACCTTCCCCGATAGAGGAGAGGACTGTTCTTTGGTCAAGGGTATACGAGTAGCTGCACTCCCCTGCTAGAACCTCCAAACAAGTTCTCAAGGTCCACTTGTAGGAGAACGTAGGATAGTCAAGCTTCCAAGACTCCAGACACATCCAAATGAGGGGCTGTATGTGGCAGTCTACCTTTCTTAAAAAAAAAAAAAAAATTCACTATGGGGCTGGCCAAGTGGCTCAGTTGGTTAAGAGCTCACTCAGGGCCGGCCAAGTGGCGCAATGGTTAAGAACTGGCTTGGGATGCCAGAGGGCCCCGGTTCGGAGCCCACATATGAGGGCCAGTGACACTACCCTCCACAGCTAAGATGCTGAACAACAGCTCAACCTGGAGCAGGGTTGCCATGAGTTGCTGGCGACGGCGTAGGCTGCAGCCCCTGCGGCAGTGGGTTGCCATGGGCTACTGTGTGTAGCCAGCAGCCAGCATGAGCGGCCAGCAGCCGCAGTGAGTGGCCGTGCAGAAACCAGAGACTGATCTGCCTCACCCGGGAAGAGTGAATGATGGTGCCAACTTGGGCCAGTGA